AAGAAAGCATAAAATGAGGTTGGTGGGGGTTTTTTCTACAATATGTGAGCGATGGTTGAGGCTGTAACAAAGATAATGAATATCTGCCAGCTGGGCTGGCTCTCCCAGCAGGTCTCTGTTGATATGAACAGCAGGGAGGTCCTGGAGGTTTGCAAACATCACTAGATCATATTATTGAAATGTGGTCTTTATTATCACCTTCCCATTTTCTGAGTGTGCCTTCATGCCCTGATACTCATCGTGGAACAAATGAAACCTTTCTGCTTCCATCTGAATTCCAGCTTTTTCCTTAACTAAGTATTTTATCTTTATTGTAGAGGGGAAAAAAAGAATTGTTCTTTGGAATTCTCTTAGATCTTTTAAATCCCAGTACAAGGGCCAAACCTTATCTTCCCATTCTTTCGTGGGGAGTAGCAGAGTAGAACTTGGAGGCAGCATTTGGCTCCTGCTCAGTGGTGCCTCTCAGCCAAACATAACGAGGCATTATGTTGATTTAAACATGCTGCTGCACGAAGCTCTATTTATTTTAAGGGCTTTTCTCATTAAAGACACAGTTTTTGGTCCCATGGAAGTTGCCAAAATGATCTATCTTGACATGAAGAAGTTTCTGCAGCCCCTTCTCCCTCAGGGGTCTCTGAAAGGGACTGTCCAATTCTTGGCAGGCCTTTGCTGCAAGGAAAAATCCTCAGAGCCACTTAAAGTCTGTGGAATAAGGAATAACAGATTTGGTTTTCCTCAGTCTAAATTTAGTCTTTTAAGTGCTGCTCCAGAAGGAAAGTCCAGAAAGTCTGGGCTGCCTTGCTTTGCACTGTTCTGTTGCCTTCTGCAACATCTGGGTTCCAGTGGTTGCCTGGGATTTCAGATGCTAATTAAATATAATCATATTGCAGGATTATTTTCAAAACCAGGGACGTGCTCCAGTTTCAAAGGGCTGTTCAAAAGTGAGTGGAGAGGAGAGGAGGGCACTGCTTAAGGAGGCTCCAGAGAGGCTGCAGGTCCTCCACAAACATCCTACTGGTTCTGAGGGCAGTTTGGGGGGACCCCAAGGGGGAATATATGGCAAATATGTGTCGTTTGTACACAGGGTTTCATGTGTATAAATAGTAGCAGAAAACTTTTTCTGACCTGAATGTCAAAAGCCAAGTGTGTGTGCAGGTACCCTGAGATTCCTGAGGCTTGGTGCCCCTTTGGAAAGGGAAGTTTGTACTCCTGAAAAATGTCAGTTGTCCCTGGTGTTCAGAGAAATTGGGGTTGCCCAGAGAAGCTGTGGCTGCCCCATCCCTGGAAATGTCCCAGACCAGGTTGGATGGGGCTTGGAGCAACCTGGGCTAGTGGAAGGTGTCCCTGCCCATGGAAGGAGGTGGGACAGGATGGGCTTTAAGGCCCCCTTCCCACCCAAACTATCCTGGAATTCAATGAGCTTAAAAAAAAGGAAATCTTACCTATGACAGGATAATTAATGATCAAAACCAAAGCTACTGCACTGTGAGCAGGTGTCCCAGTGCACTTACTGGCAGTGACTGCTCCAAGGTGTTTCCTGTGCTTTGGGATGAGAATTCCTTGCTCTGTGTGGAGGATGGATACAGCTCCTGGTGTCTTCTCAGAGAACACCAGTCACCAAATGTCTCATTAGAAGAGTACAGCAGTTAGCATTTAATTAGTGCACTTCATCTCAGGTTTGCTCCTCTTCTAGCAGAAGACAAAAAAAGGTGCATTATGAACATTTCCCAGTGCAATAATTTTAAATTTCTTCATTTGCTCTTTCTTACATCTTCCTTCAGTGGTGCTACCAGAACACAACCTTCCTTGACATGTTTGTTTGGGGTTTTTTTTGCTCTTTTCCCCTTGTTTTAATTTTCTTCTTCCTCCTCTGCTCAGCACGAGACTTTATATGAATGTATTCTCTTTTTTTCAGCTGCTTCTTTTTCACTGCTTTTTCCTGGTTCCACAGAATTACAACCACCCCCCAGTCATGGCCTTGGCTGTTCCAGTGGCAGTGAAGTTTCTCCAGAGGGGGAACAAGGAGCTGTGCAGGAACATGTCCAGTTATCTCTCCTTGGCTGCCATTGCCAAAGTGGATCTGCTGGCTGAGCACACGGACACCATCGTCAGGAGCGTCCTCCAAGGTAGGAACGTGGACATTTGGGGGTTAGGATGTGTCAGGTGTACATGGGATCCTTAAAAATCTCGAATTCCTGAAATCTGGAATCCTTCTGGTCGGGAAAGACCTCCAAGATCATCAAGTCCAACCATTAGCAAACACATTATACGTAAAAATATGAGGCACGTTTGTATAAAGCAGACATAAGGAAATACCTATAAATGTGATAAAACAGGTTAGACACAAACTAATAACAGATTATCAAGGAATATGGGAATTTGCTGAACCCTGTTGACTGTGGAGGTTTCGTTATGGATTGGGTGACCCCCGGGGCAGGAAATCCAGCTGTACTTGTTAATGTTCCTGACTAATGGACTTCAAATTATCAGCCATGATACGAGGCTCTAGTTCTGGAGCTCTTATCCTTTCTATTAGTGTCCCTGGCAAGCCTCCAAAATAGAAATGGGGATGAAATTAATCCCATTCTGTGGCAAAATAGTCAGATGTAAGATAGAAAAGCTTTGTGGTGGTTCTTTAATTTTGCCTACATTGTTAGCTTTATATAGAATATTGTTGCTAATCTCCTTACATTTTATTTTTGTGGTTGAAAAAGCCAAAAATATTCATTCTTCTATAAAAGGAAATCCAATTTAATTGAAGTAATAAAGTTCCCAGTATTTGTTGTAGTACAGTGCTACTGCAGTAGTAAATTCACTGTTTTGCTTCAAGTATGGGTAATAATTAGACAGTTACTGCTAATTACTGCTATTAAAAGAAGATTATTATGGAGATGTTAAGCACTCAAATTAAATGTGTGCATTCTTTATCAAGTTATTATTTCTTATATTCTTTGAAGACTTGACATCAGTATTTATGTGCTGACATTGTGCTCTGTCACTCAGTGGTAGTAATAAAAGAAATAGAGGGAATTTAGTCACAAGTTTGGGAAAAGGTTTCAGCACGGCTGAGTTGTGTACTTATGTAGTTCCACCAGCAGATGTTGCTGTGGATATCAGGTTTGGGAATTGCAGGCGGGAAGAGGGCACCGAACAGCGAAACGATTTGTTTTGCGAAGGGGCTCGATCGCGCTGTGCATAATTCGTGTTTCAGGCATGAAAAGCTGCGTTTGCAGCAGGCTGAGAACTGCCCTTGCAGACTGCTTGCTGAGGGGAGAGGGAAGGTGCTGAGGATGGATTTCCAGAGCAGTTTCTGGAGACAAAGGGCCTTGTTCTGGGGCTGCCCAGCGCGGCCGAGCCTCGTGGCACCAGGGCAGAGCAGCTCTGGCCCCTTGCCGGCGACTGCCGGAGCCAAATGGATTTTGTGATTACTTGGGGCAACTCTTTGGCTGCATAATCAGGTTCTTATCTCCTCAGCTAAAAAAAGAGCACTTTGGAAGGAGTGTTTCACTGCTCTGTTCCAGTGAACTCAGCTCCCAAACACGCGCCGGCTGTGCCGGCGACGCCGTGCCCGCTGTGCCCACACCTCCCACGGGCACCAGGGACCACACGGAGCTGTTCCTGCTCCCAGGGGACAGCAGCAACACTGCCCTGTGATCTGAGAGGCCTGTGGCTGCTCCCCCTTCCAAAGGCACCGCGGGGATGCTGCATCCAGCAGAGCCTCGTGAGAGGGCAGGGCTGGGCTCAGCACCCGCCCCAGCCCCACAGGTCTTACCCTGCTCCTCCTCTTCTCCATTGGCAGTGCAAGGGCAGGGCCTCGGTGGCTTTTCCATGTTTGGAGCCCAAAATCCCCCCAAAATACTATTTACTTAGTGTTTTCCAAACAGCCAAACTGCTGGCCAAGAAAGAACATAGTTGAGTGAAGAAGTTAGGGGAGAAGTGTGAGTTGTGGTGCTGGGCTGTGGGAAAGCTTTGCTGGTCCACAGAGGTGATAAAGGGAGAGCAAAGCAGTTGGAAAGAGGAAAGTTTTCCAGCTGAGTCAGTGGGAATGGAAGGACTGGCTTTGCACTTGGTCCTCTGCCAAACCAGAGCAGAGACAGAAGAAGGCTCCTTCCCAGACAGAGCTTTTCAGGTATGAGATACAGCAGGAAAAGCAGTATGAGATACAGCAGGAAGGATTTCTGGTGATCTTCATGAGGAGTTTCCTTTTTCTGCTGCATTTCATGGACATTTGTTTTCATTTAATGGAGGTAACTGTATGGGAAGGGGATTTGAGAGTGATTTTTGCCCTTGCACAATATTGGGACCTGAAGTGTTTTTGTAACTCTGAGGATCTGTTTTCTGGCTGCCAGCAGATGAACACGGGTAATATTTCCTTGTTCTGTTGTTAAGGTTATTCACAGATATTATTTAGGGAGGGATTTCTGTCCAGTTTACTACTAAGCATTTATAACTTAGATCCAGTTTTATTGCAGGGTAATAGAAATTCCAGCAATCAGAGCAATTACTTTTCCCTTAAACAGTGCTGCCAGAAATTTGGAGCAGGTAATATAACACTGGGTATGAAGCACAACCCCCTTCAATTGCACAGTAAAGGGGAATTTACCTTGTCATGGATTTTCCTTACTATTTTTGTGTCCTGGAACAAGGATCTGGAGTGGTGTTCAGGAAGGAGTGTAGCAGCAACACGCCAAGAGATTTTTCCAAGTGTGTTCTCAGGACATCTGTAGAGAATGAGAAAGGCAGGGAAACGTGGGAATAGAGAAGAAGGATGGGCTGCTTCCAGGGGAAATGAGAATTGCTCTGAACAAGACATCCCTCATGATAACTTGTTCAGAGGCTTCGGCGGCGCGTGACGCTCTTGTTGTAAATGGTTACGGATCCAGTGAGTAGCTATTCATCATCCCCTGCTTGGGCTCTGCTTTCCACATGGAAATCACCCCTGGAGTCTGGGCTCTGCACCTGCTGCCTGTGCTCTGTATCCAGCCCTGGGTTTTTATTGGGTTTGGGATGAGCTTGTGAGAGGAGAGGAGCAAATCCCTGGCACTGAGCAGCAGTTCCCTGTACAAACCTCCTGTCAGCAGCAAATGCCTTTGGGTGTCTAAATGTACCTTAAAACTGAGTCTGTCCTCAGAGGGCAGCATTATGGGGGGGACTGATGGATTTTTATTTGAGGATATCCCAAACCAATCCTTCCTTCAGCCTCCAAGCACTGTCCTAGCACAGCCTCAGCTCAATGCACATGAGGATCCCTCTGTTTTTATGAGAGGTCACTATTTCTATTCTTTTTCTAGAACTATATGGTTCAAAACATGGGAAGACTCCCACATGGGACTTGGTTTCAGAGTTTTGGTTCATGAGAAGCATGGAGAGTTTTAGTTTAGTAAAGTATCTTTATTTACAGAACAACTTTACAAAAATAATTTCAATAAAATTATCACAGAGTCCATTTACAATATAATACAGCTGCATGTTCTCCCAATGTAACATCAGATTATGATGGGGAATATTACTTTGATATCAATCCATGGCATAAATAATGATTTAAACAAGGAGCTAGTTTTGTTATAGTCTACAAATGACTAACAACGATTAATAAACAACACATTTCTTGACTTAGGTGGTTCCTCTGTACAATTCACATTAATGCTATAGAGCCCGAGGGCTGGAGGAGCCTGGAAGATCATGGAATCAGGAATGGTTTGGGTTGGAAGGGACTTTAAAGATGATTCAGTTCCACACCCTGCCATGGGCAGGGACACCTTCCAGTATCCCAGGTTGCTCCAAGCCCCATCCAGCCTGGCCTTGGACACTTCCAGGGATGGGGAATCCACATCCTCTGTTCTGCAGAGAAGGGTCAGGTTTCCCTCAGCAGGGATGTTGGGAGCACCCTCTGACTCCCGAGTGTCCAAAGTGCCCCTCTCTCTGATCCGTCAGAAAACACTGTGCTGGACAGACAGGGCTGCCAGACCTCAGGGACAGCTTTTCCAATGTCATGCCTTGATGTGTGGGATCTTTTCAGTGTTTTCCCAAAACAGCAGGCAGAGATCCGACCCCATCTCCACAGCGCCTCGTTTTGTAAACTTGCAATGCTGATCTTCCTTGGGAATTTGGGACGTGGGCTCCTACAGCTCTGTTTAGTTGGAGTGCTGGTGTTCAGCTCTTTGGGAAATACATTCTCTGTGCAGAAACAGCTGTGCCAGGGTTTAGGACACGTACTGGGCTCCTCCATAGGGCAGAACCTCCGTGACCCCCCACCCCACCACGTTGCCCCTGGTGCCACACGCGCCCTCCCCGCTCTGTGCCGTGATCTCTGGGGCACTGAGCACTCTGTCCCACAGGTTGAAGCCAGTTAGTTTTCCAGAGAAGGCCAAAGCTTCATCAAACCCCCCTCCAACGCAGCAGCCGTTCTTCTCCTGCCCGATCTGCAGGATCCCTCCGTCGGGAACGGTGTGAGCGCTGGCAATGTCCAGGGCACTGGCTGCCAGCTCCCCCTGCACCCACAGGGCTGCAGATCCATTCTCGGAGCTCCACGTGCCACACAGATGGACCCACTTCCCAGGGATAACTGCATTTTGGGCAGCCACCTTGTGCTGGCCACCCCCGACCACGAGCACCGCGGAGTCCCGGCGGAGGTAAAGCTGGATTTCATAGGGATTGAACTTGGTTCCATAGGAGAAGACAATGGTTTTGTCCAAAGCCTCGGTCACCCTGATCCAGATACAGGCAGTGAAGGAGTGAAGGGTCATTCCAGCAGTTGGGTGGACACTCCCAAATATCTTTTTGGAACGCATGGGGAACAGAATTGCGGTTTCACACCCTGGGGAAGATTAAAAACATCGTCAGGGAAATAGAAACTGGTCTGCTTGTGTGTGCACAGGTGGGACCTTTGATATATCATGGAATCATTAAGGTTGGAAATGACCTTTAAGATCACCAAGCTGTCGCTGCCCCATCCCTGGAAGCGTCCAGGATGAAGCTTGGAGCAACCTGGGCTAGTGGAAGGTGTCCCTGCCCGTGGCAGGGGGTGGCACTGAATGGGCTTTAAGGTCCCTTCCAACCCAAACTCTTCCATGATGGGGCTTCCCAAGGATCTGTATGGAGCAGTGCCCCCTGGGAGAGCAGCTCT